TACTCAGGGGAAAAGAAGAAAGACATTTGCTTCTATTTTAGAGACCTGCACTGGCTCTAAAGAGTGGACATCCCCCTTTCAACAGGGAGTTGTCAGATTAGCTCACCCCACTTCACAGCACTACCGCTTTGGTTTCTAAAAGCATAAAATAAACACAGCGTTTCCCTTTACACACTACAGAGCTTTCATGATTTTTCTTCAGGTGTCTTCATATGCTTGAAGCACCCTGAGTAGCTGCACCCTTTTAACTGCCGGCAATAAAAATTGGTAATCTTATCTTAAGTTCACTACCCAGAACATGCTACACCTATGTCAATGTGCAAGTTTTATATAAACGAGCATAAAAGAACCTAACAACCATATCCCCACATGTCAAGACAACCAAGCAGGTAGAGGGGAGAAAATACCAAAGAAAATCCACCCCACGCAGTGCTTTGAACTATAGTTTTGTAGAGAAAGCATACAGGGAACAGCAGCACAGCCTGCTGAGGTTTATAACTGCTGGTGCAGCCAAGACAATTCCAACGTTTGACTGCATGACTCTGCAATATACAGTTCTACAGAGCATACCAGTACTTCTATGCACTTGGAGAACCAGATGGATTAAGGCCAAATTATCCAAGCAACAGTGGTATTTTCCACACAGTAAATCCTACAGACCAGCAGAAGTTATTTCTTGCAACAAGTCATCTCTATATCTGCAAGCTGTGAAGTTACATCCTCCTAAATGAAAGGGGTTACTAATGAAAAAAAAATAGTTTGGAAGTAGCTATAGGAAAATCAAAGGATTGAGTCTCATCACATATTTCTGTTTGATTGAGACCTACTAATAAATAGTACCCTAATGCAAGTACCTGAATAAATTAAAGGACACTAACTCAGTTGCTGGACTCCTTGCAGAGCACCAAACCAACCAATCTTAGAAGTCTGAATCCTCTGGTAGTTCCAGGAACTCAAGGAGATTCTAGAAGGAAATTACAGATCCCTTTCTAGAAGGAAATTACAGAGCCCTTTCACACAACTGTTGGGGGCAGCAGGGGAACAACACCCCTTAAATGCATTTACATTATTTACTTGAAAGAGGACATCTGCAAACTGTAATTAATAAATTATTATTTGTGATACAGATTAGTAACTGATTCTTAATTAAGCTCTAACTTCAAGTTCTGTTACCGTAAGACAGCTTCTAGAACATGTTCAAGTTCTGGATTCAGTCAACTGCTGCACCCCTTATTGTCTTCAGAGTAAAGACGCATTACCCTGACAGTTTATAGAAACACGGGAGTCACCTGTTAACTTGCTGTAGGGGGAATCTGGAGAGATGTCAAGTATTTTCTTCCCAACTGTAACCTGACCTATATCTGCTTTCAGAAAGGAAGAAACCCTGCTCATCTCACCTGCTATACCTTATGTAAGTTTCAAGTTATATACCTCAAGCTCTGTAACACAAAGCTGATAGCAAACTATCCACTTGGAGTCTACCTTGTGTCATAGCATGTAGGTTTCTCATCTGATTAAAGATACTACCTAGCTTCCACAATGAAGAATTACGTTTTGACATTCAGAAGTCTACAAAAACACAGATGCATACATTCTCTTGATATAAAGAGAAACATTAGTAAGGTAAAATTGTGTTTGTGAACTTGTCCATTCCAATTGTTTTCCCCAAAAGACAGTTATATATTATGCTATTAGTAATAGTCTTTGAAGGAACAGCAGATAAGTGAGATTTTTCACAGAGAGATTTGTCACAAAGCTTCCTATAATGTAACTAAGCTCCCTGGCATTTTGTTATTTGTCATGACATGCCTAAGCAGATCTGTAAAGATAGTCAGACACCCAAATCTCTTAATATCTCCAGAGATCAGGGCTTAAGTGTTATTTACACTGCAGAAGTACCTAGAAAGTTGTCCCCTTAATCCAGGCCAACATACTAAGGACCATACAGATACAGGACTGGGTTTTCAGCAATTTACAGGCACAAGCTGCAAGACTTAATACAGTTCCTTAAATGGGTCATGTAACTCAAAAAAAAAAAACACTAGTTAGGCACCTACTGCTTTAACTGTCACAAACCATGCCTATTCTGATCATACAGAAGAAAAAACATACCTCACAACACTCTTTCATGAGAAAGATAGGGCAGAACTTAACGTTATCTTAACATTAAACAAAAAAACGGATTTCACATTCATGTCGATGTTATAAAACAAGTTTTCTATTCCAGCATATTTGTAGTAGACAGTACTTACCATCACATCTTTTGTATGTGCAAACTAGGAACTGTGACCTTATGATCATATATTCTTAATTTTGCTCTTTAAAATAGCTTACACTTTCAGCATACTGCCAAACGTGAACAGAACTGATTGAGAAGCAATCTCAGCAGAAATGCAGTATTTCATATAAACGAGAACAAATTACGCTAAAAAAACTCTTTATTGTTCCAGCTGAACCAGGATATGGAATTAGATGCAGGAATAGCACCTACAATACCATTTTTTCCAGGCCAGAGACGTAAGAAGTAAAGATGCTTGCAGAACAGCTAGCAGAATTGGAGGGCACACCTTAAATTTGTTTACCCAACTTGATTCCAAAAAATTTTGGAAGTCTAAAAACCAGAGTATTGATTTATACACAACTCCCGGTGCTCCCTCCTTAGCAATGGCCTCATTACGGTTCAGAAGCAATATAGCATGAGAAGTCTTCTAGATTCTGATCTAGCCAGCTTGTTCTGCAGACATCCACAATTGGGTTGGAATAGAAAGCCCACTGATAGAAAGAGCTGCACAAAGGCAAACTATCAACCATTTTTTTCTTGACAGGAAGCCGAATGGTTTTGCATTTCAGATCTCTACAATGGTGTAGGGTCTGATTACTTTCCAGAGAACTGATTTACCACCGATCCAGGAAAGTACCAGAAAGACAGGCAGTTATGCCTCAAAAGCTCCTGAAGATGAATGAATCCTCCAGGATGCTGGCCAAGCATCCTACTTTGGGTTTCCACTCAAACCAAAGCCAATACTCGTAGTTGCACTGACTCATTAATACCAGGTGGAGAGCCCTTTCCTCCCTACACACAAAAAGCCCAACTCCAGGAAAATGGTGGGATTATGGGGGGAGGGGACTTTTTTTTAGGAATGGCAGCAGGGAGAAAAATGCATCTTTCCATCGCATGCTCTTTGGGGTTGGCAGCAAAATACTGAAAAAACACACCCCAGTTTTTACTAATAGATGCTGCATACCTACTGTGAAACATTGAATCACATGCCCATCCCTCCCAGCCAGTTAAGTTACACCCCAAGATCTGTTCAGGGGAACATTTTTTCCTTACTACGAGGAAACCATTTGATGCCTTTCATTGACAGGAATTCTTACTTCGACCCCCTTTGCCCTGTAAGAACATTTACAAAAGACAGTCTTATATGGACCTTTTTTTTTTTTGGTTGTAATTTTATTTTCCTCACCAAAACACGTATTTCTCAGATGCTCTGAAACACTAGAAGTTTTGTTCTCAGAGCTGCTGCTTAGAAAACCTAGTTCTCACCAAATCACATTCCTGTGCTATGAAAATTGTGATCAAAGTATTTGGAGCGTCTCCCTACCTCTCAATGAAACATAGCTGTATTCATTTAGATTTTTGTTTTTTTTTCTTTAAAGTGTAGACAGGTATTTATTTCACTTCAAACGCATAAACACAAGTCTTAAGGCAGAAGTAACAGTCCCAGAAAATTAACACCATTGAGAAAATTAAAGGCTCTGTCTATTATAGGCAATAGAAACACGTTTAAATAGACAGTCGCAAGGCAGACATTTCTGGGGCAGCAGACACCATTCCAGGGTTGCCAGCTCCCTCCCACCCCCACTTTTCCCCAGATCTGTACTGATCAAGGGCAGAGCACAAACTTTATCGGGGAAAGAGGAAAAAAAAATACACAATACTGGAAAAAAAAAATGAAATGTAATAGCATCTTGCACATAATGAATGTGTACGCATTTCCTTTAGGCAATGAAGGATCACGTAGTACTAGATGGCTCCAGGGGGAGAGCTCGGTCTCTCTCTCTCTGGCTTTGCCAGGGGCAGCGGAATCTCCACCGGAAAGCAAAAGAAGAGAAAGAAAAGCGGCAGCCCCGCTCCCTTGGGACCGAGCGGGGCGAGCCGGCCTCTCCCCACCATCTCCCCCCCGAGGAGCCGAGCGAGCCGGGCACCCACCTCCCGGAGAGGGCGTTGTCTGCGGCGAGCCGCCCTCAGCCCCGCAGCCCGGCTGAAGAGAAGCGAGGCCCGGAGCCGCGAGCACCGCCCCGAGGCACCCGAGCAGCAGCGGCGGGGTCTCTTTGTGTGTCCCCCCCCTCTCCATGAGGCGGGGGCGGCTCCCCCTTCCCCCCGGGACTCGCCCTTCGCGGCCGCCATTTTATTCCCGGTTCCGCCGCCGCCTCCCTCCCCCCCCCCCATTTTCTCCGAAGCGGCCCCGCCCAGGCCCGAGCCTCCCGCTCCTTCAGGCCCCTCAGCCCCCGGCTCCCTCAGCCCCCTCAGGGGGGTGCCAGGCGCCATTTTGTCCGTGCCCCCCCTCCGCCCCTGCCCCCCCCTCCCCCGCCCAGCCGCCATTTTGTGGCCGCTCCCTCCCTCCCTTCTCCCCCTCGGCCTCGCAGGGCTTTTTTTTTTGTATTCCTCCGCCGGCGCTCACCATCGTAGCGCTCAGCCTGCTCGGCCAACTTGGCCTGATAGACGAGATCCTCCCGATCGTCCATAGCCTGCAGGCGGAGTGGCGTCGGGGAGTGTCCGGGGCGGATGGAAGCCGATGGGGCCGGGGGGCTCAGCAGCTACCAGCTCGCTGCTCTCCGGGAAATATGGCGGCGGCCCCTCCCCCCGCTGCATCCGGGCACTTCCGCAAGGGCGCGCATGCGCCCTGCGCCTCCCCATGGCAACGGCGGCACCTTGGCAACAGGCGGGAGGCGGGCGGAGGGGGTTGGAGACCCGGGGGTCGCGGGTTCGAGGCCGGGGTCGGCCGCTCCCGGGCGGCGGGCTCGGGAAGGCGGTCGAGAGGGCGCCGTTGTTCAAGGGAAAGCGGCGGGGAGCGGTGTGGGGCCGCTGGGGGCACTGCGGGCAGCCGAGGCCGCGGCTGGAGTCGGGGCTGTGCCGCCCGGGAGGGAGGGCCGGGAGCCGAGCCCGCGCTGCAGGCTGAGGGTGAGGGAGGCGGCGGCGTTTCCCTCAGGCAGCGCCGTCCTGAGGCCCTCCAACGCTGACAACGCCTCTGGAATTAATCTCTCCCTTTTTGTAGAAAGCGCTGGGTATTGCTTTTGACTTTTAGCAATGTGTCTAGAAATGAGTGAGATAGAGAATGTCTGACCTAGCCGGTTTCTGCAGCCTCTCCAGGGGGTGTTCTCAAGCGAAGTATCACCCCCGAGGTATTTATCTGGGGCAAGGCACGATAATCTCACGGTTTAAAGAGGTTAGAAGAATGCTGAATGTTTCAGAAGTTCCTCACGGTGTCTTTCTGAAATATTTGGAACATAGGCTTAAATAATTGAGATAGCGCCTCAATTTCCTGAATCAAAATGGTTTGAAGAAACTAAAAGGGCTAGCATAAAAATAATCTTCAAAGATTTGCTCAGGATGCATGTGGACAAAGTCTCATTTCTCTTTTTCCAGCATCTCCTAGGCTCAGCCTTACCGAGGTGTGGGAGCACACAAAGGCCTTTGCAGCTTCTGAAGGCAGCAGACTGAGCAGTCCCTGGCACCTCTGGGATGTTGTTGAGTATCTTCATATTTACTGTTTTATATTGTGCCTGCTGAAATAGGTTCCTTGTGTGACTATACACACTTAAAGCATCATTTTAAAAAGTGGTTCATTGTTTCCTGATTCATTTTAACAAGCTATTTCAGGTAGCGAACACGAGTTCCAGGATGCGTAAAATTAACATTTTGTGGTTTTCTCACAGATACGTCTAAAAATATAGGAATGTTTTTTATGTCACTGTGTGCCTAACTAAATACTTTATGATCTATTTCCACTGGACATTTTAGACCCCAACTCTTACTCAGATCTCAGGATAATCTAACCAGAATTCCATACAAGAAAAAACAAAGACATTAGCACGTCTGAGCTAGAGTGAAAATTAGGTGTCAAGTCCAGAAAAAAAAATGATATTTTCAAGAGGAAATATGATCAGAAAATGCAGGTTTTATTGAAATTGGGGACCATTATATACCTTTATCTGTGAATTGTTCATACATACACAATACAGTTACCAAGGATTTTGGTAGGCTTCCAAAAGATCCCAGAAGTAATACAGGAAATCACTGTATATTTGCTTAACATTGCAAGACTTGCAAATCACCTCTGTGTTTCATAAATCTTAACCAATCTTTATTAGATTTGCCTCGATTTGAGAACTTTTCCTTGATCCTCATGTTCAGCAGGCACTCACAGTTGTAGAGTGCTCAAGGCTATAAACAAACCAGGCTACTACATGTATAAGCATACTTATTGGCCAGAAGTGAGGTGCATGCTTCCTACCTTTGTTAAACTGCAGCATATTGTCTAAATAGCTCAAATATTTTTGTATGCAGTTGTTAGGGGTGGCATTACACGCTTGGAAATTGGTCAGGTATTTGGTGAAGCGTGAGGAGTATACAGCCTAATTCAGGGAAATACTCAAAGCAGAATTTCCTGATGCAATCCTTGCCTTGTTCTTTGCACTCTCAGCATTTGCATAAATTGATTGAACCACTCCTGCAACAGCAAATCACCACTGCAAGGATGAGCAATAGCTCTCTGCATTAGTCCTGCATGGTTTGTAAATACCAGTATCAGGAGAATGTGCCCGTCAGGGAATTGTGGAGAGGTGTATAGGACCTCTTCAGGATAGCTGTAGTGAGCTTTTAAATTATCTTGGGTAATCTAATTTAGAGGTAATCTTGCTTGTGGCTCCACTGCAGACAAGTTAGATGAGCCAGGAGTAAAACTGAGCATAATAATTCTGGCTGTGATTTTTTTTTTTCCCCATCTGAGGCAGTCTTCATAGTGTGGAGGCATGACAAGAAAACAGTACAGCTAAATGCAAAGTTACTCATTTAACACATCCCACTTGAGGACTCCACTAGACAGCATTGGCCAAAAAAGTTATCTGTCAGAGCCAGGCAATGGAGTATTAATCAACTCAAATATGAGGAGCTACAATTGTAATGTAGTGACCAAGAAAACAAATGCTTTCCTTGAACTTCCTGGCAAGAGAAAATACTCCTTTTCTCCCCTGCGCCTCAAGAAAATCATCTGTTTACAGAAAGTCACCCTGTTTCAAAGATGGCCACAATATTTTACTGGTTGATTACTTATTTTAGTTACCTTGGATCATCTTTCTTCTGCAGGTGACCTTCTACAGGACTTTAATTGTTTTCAGATAAGCACGGTCAATAAAATAATAAAATATGGAAATACCAGACCTTCTATTTTTATATTCCTATATGCAAATATTCCAACGCCAGTTGATTGAGAATGACACCAAGCCAAAGTTTTGGCTATACTTTTATTTACTTCACGTACTATGAACATATACATTACATGCTACAAAAAAAAAAATAAAAAAAGACTTTAACTGTCAAGAAAGTGGATAGTGTTATAATACAATGGCACATGTTCATATTTTTCTTCAAACTGGTTTGGTTAGAATCCTTCCCCAAAACCATTAACAAAAACGAAGTGTTTTAATCTTAAGATGATTAGAAATATTTGCATTATTAACAAATACAATTCAAACAGATTAACAAGATTTAACCATGTCAAATATTAGTAAAAAGGCTGGGGTTTACCAAAATGAAATATATATTAAAAAACCATAGCAGCCAGTTGTACTTTTAGTGTGATATAACGTGTAAATGCACCAGAAGAACACAGTGTAATTGAGCATTCTGCTTTCACGGTGTATTTCTAGAAATGATTATTCTAGTTCTAACACCTGCCTATGCACAATAGACCAAAACCACAGCCAAATAGAGACAAAAGATTGTGACCAACGTTCTTAGCAATGATTTTTTTTTGCACGCATTGGTAAGAAGGGAGAGAACAAATAGAAGGATAAACAAAGGCCACAAGAGGATTTAATCTACATGTTCATGAACATGTGTGCTACCCTATTTTCCTTTAAAAGAGCTCGATAAGTTGAAATGTCTATTTTGCACAAATGCAAACATTAATTTCTATCACCTATGAAACAAAATCACATTTCAGCTTAAACTGAAGAGGGGAAAACAGTTGTGTTAATGTATCTGTTGACTAAGAAAAACTGCTTGACAAGAACTTCAGATTCTAGTGCAACAGCAGCTATTAAGACTCCTCTAGTTTCTTTTTTTTTGCTCTTTCAAAGTGTACAAATATTTGCAATTTATACAGTCTTCACAAAAACACACCTACAAACTCTGCAGTGTATTTGCTAGTTGACGATTCAATTTAAGCCATATTAAAAAGGCAGTATTTGCATAATAAAATTCCTTTCAGAAAAAAAGAAGTTCTTTTGGTATGTTAAAATAATTGCTGATTGGAAAGGTACAAATGTATGGGCTTTCGTTAATTGGAATTGGAAAAAAAAAATACTTCAGAACAAACTGTGTTACTCTTAACAACAGAGTTCACTATGCTTCTTTTGCAAAACCTGAAGAAAAATATAAGCATATATGGGCAACTGATAAGCTCAGTATATAAATCCGTATTAAAATGCAGCTACTGAAAAATCAGTTGCAGTAAATACTAAGGTCAGAGGAAAATACAAACTAGCCTTAAATAAACCAATTTGTTACTGAACCTAGTGTTAGTTTCTGATTTTTTTTTCGCCTCAAACTAGTTTTACTACACAGCCAGAAGTGATCTCACAATCAGAGACTGGCACATCGCCCTAACCAGAATAGGGATCCAAGCTAGAATAGTACTGCAATTCCTTTGTTACTGTTATTTTTAGGTCACTGTCATAAAATGTCAGTTTTCTAATGATCTTTAGTAGTGCTGATGAGATTTGTGATGGAACAAACTATGATTAATGTACATCGGCGTTAGTCCACAGATTTATCAGGTGCCCATTACCTGAAAATTAGACTTGCTGATGATTAGTTCTGAAGTAAAGCAACTAGTACTTAAATATAACAGAAATATTACCATTTCCAGCATGTTACACAGTTCTGAGGTAAAGTGTTACCAGTATTCTGTTTTATGGGTGGGTGACTTGCAGCAATAGCCTTTGCAGTGGGAACTAGCCCTCGCAGCATTTACAACCAATGAGACATTCTAGTGACAAGCTTTGTATCAACCAAAATAACATTTGCAGTTTGATACTGTTGTAGAAAAACTGTTCTGTAGAGATTATCACTGTAGTCAGAGTTGCAAAATTTGTTTGCTTAAGTTTGGTCACTAGAGTGCTATATTTGGAAAACAATCCAGGGTACAGACAAGGGGTAGTTACTTCAGTGTTTAATTTTAGTTTACAAAACTTACTGAATCCATTCTGATTTATGTTAAAGAAAACCAGATAATTAGAAGAACAGGTTTAAAACAAACAAACAAAAAACCAACAAGCAGCGCATAATACCACCTATTCAATGCACTGATTTTCATTAAGAGTTATGAAGCCATATTTACTCTATTACACCTTTTGAGAATCAATCCAGAAGCACACAAGTATTTTCCGTTAGTTTATTAAAAATAAAATCCTCATGAATTCACTATCAAATAGTTTACAGATGGGAATTAAACCAGAAGAGTCCCCAGAGTAACTTTAAATTAGAAGTAGTATTTGGTTTGTCAGTTTATCACTTTTGACACTGATTTGTACTGTAACGTATAGGGGTATGGAATAATTCTAGAAAACTGGCCCTATGCAATCTATTTTTTTCTGAAAGCAGTGTAAATATTTTAGTATATTTAGTGAATCAAACACTGCTTTAAAGCTATGCATTAAAGTGCTATGCATGTATTTTTCAGCACTGGTGTGGATGTTTACACTTCAATAAGCCTTGTATTTGTGGATAGAGAGATTGGTGTGTTAATAGGAATTTTAAATTAAAATCAGCTGCTACGTTTGAAGCATCAACAGTACTGAAGAAATCAATCTAGTGTCCACCAACATCTAGAATTCTGAGGTTGATTTGATCTGTCATTCACCGTTAAAATGGTACGTATTTGTAAATCATAAGGCTGTCTCCAATGTGCTCTACCAAAGTCTGTACTGTGCACGGTTACTTCACCATGCAAAATACTGTATAGCCTTTCCGGGACAGAGAATTCAGGATGGAAGAAAAATGGAGAAAGCTCCAGGATAAATTTGTGGAAAAAAACCCAACAAGCTATCTACACACTGAGTTGTCTAAGGTTGATGTTCATCGCCTGAGGAAGAAGCAACATAAACAAAAGGACTGGAGAGAGCTATAAACGCTATCATAACATCTACGTTACTGCTTTCCCCAGCTGCTGCTGCTGGCAAGGTCCAGTCTGCTGTGCACATGGACATAAGCAGGCATTACAACCTATAATCATGTACTAGTTCTGCCACTTGACACACGAGTTATCTACTGTCGTACCCTGAATTACATGACCTTTGATTAAGGAATGGTGGTGTTCAGTCCCAGGGGTTTGCAGGTTATCAGAACGCTTATACAAGCGATACCGCTTTCAACATCTGTCGAAACATAGTCTTGATGGCATCTGCAATAAAAACAAGTTGAGATTGTTCCCATCTGCAAGCGCAACTGTTGAGCCACACTCAGCTGAAGTCCTCATCGGGATTCTGTTGATCCAGCAGGCGGACATGTGTGAATGGAAAGTGACCACGTTTGCCGTTACATTCTCCTTCCCACTGACCACTCACGTTAATCTTTGTGACCTTTACCAGCTCACCGACCTGCAGGATGAGAAATAAGCAAGTGTTACAATTCATAAAACCACACCAGATGAGTAACTGCTACCCCTCCCATTAGGTGTTACATCACCCAAGTGTACCAGATACACTTCTATAATGAAAATAGCTTTAGTCGTAACTATTTTTGATACACCAGCCTACCACCCCATGTTATTCACTCCTGAAGAAAATATAAAGAGGAAGCAGCAAACATAGGCCAGGTGAGAACTACCCTCTAGCCTGCAATCCAGCACCATTCTTCCACAGCACTTTTGGGCCTTGACATCAGCTGCTATCATAATAAATGGATCTGGCCGATTTGACAAAGGCTTGCACTCTGCTTGTACTACATCAATCTGATTAGAAGAGGGATTGCAGATGTACAAAGTGAACACTAATCTGCAAGCTAAACTGCTCCTTAATTTTGAAATCCTGCAACTCTGAAAACATGCCTATCCATTTCTACCCCTCTGTCTAGGATTTTCTCAATGATCTTACGTCCAAGTAACACAATGTTTTTCAGAAATCTTCCCAGGTCACAGAAAGAAAATGCTTTTGAGAAGATTAACTCTGTTTTCTTTTACAAATGCTGTAAACAAACTCTCAAGGCACAGCCACAAGCCTTACTGCATTTCATCCAGAAATTCACTGAATATACAGTTAGTTTGCATACATGCTCATCACTGTGTTTCCAATTCATCCAAAATTGGATCTCATTAGTCTCACTTTCCAGGCGGTGAATGAAGAATAAGGAAAACAATTTAAGATGCTACCAACCTCCATTAACTTTACAGGTTTTATTCACTTGCAATCTTTTGCCAAAATAGCTTTTAACAGTTCATAAATTCAAAACACTACATGGACATTTAATTAAGCTTCCCATAACACTAATGATTACTTATCTGGTAATGAGAGGCACGCTGGGGATTCTTGCTGTAGCTTTTTTTTTTTTTTTTTTAAAAAAAAAACTTTTGTAGTAATTAGTATAGATATTTTAATGAACCATATTTTGAAGAAAATCCTCTTATGTATTTGCTTCCAGCAAAAAGGAAGCTTTACTTGACTTCTGTATGCTAGTTTTAGCTCTTTAGGAATTTAATCATGCAGTATGTATCATTTTGCTACTGCTAATAATCACTGGGGGGGTTGTACCAGTAAAATTACTCCGTTGACCAAAACAACACGTCAGCTATAATTTAGTAAGGACAAGATTAAACACAACAACACTAGGAACAGCAACTCTTATTTCCTAACCAGAGCCATTATGAGAACACTATCCGAGATATTTTAAATTGCTTCAGATCTGGATACAGTCCATCTATGAGCCTTCAACAGCAAAGCGTATAACCTCCAACCCAGAAGGAAAGAAAAAAAGCTTGTCCTTCAGTCTCGCTGAACAGTCCAAGATATCCTGGCAGCATCAGCAATTAAAGAAAAGAATACATCCTACTGTCTTATTTTCCAAGCTAGAAGTTTACCTTTTTCTTAATATATCTCAGACAACACTACTTACAACAAAGTAACATTTAAATATTTAAAGTGTGCATTCATTACTTTCATTTTCTGTAAGACTCCCCTCCTACCTGTTTTTCATTCTCCCCATCCTTACTGAACTTCAAGCATTTTTATTGTGGGAACCATTTTCAAATGTTTTTGACAGACCTAAGATCAAGATATTCTACCTGTAGGTTCACATCCAACATTACTTACACACTGCTTACTTACTGTGATATACTAAAAGTAATATAATATGCCAATTATGCTTTACAGAATTATATGAAAACTTCAAGTAGTGTGGCACTGGCAATGCTGCCCACAAAGTCACAAAACATGCAGAAGTTGCACTTCATTCATCATCTGTAAGATATTTTTCTTAGACTGACCATGTCTCTGCTCTCACTGAATACCTCACTCACTACGTTATCTTCATATGGTTCATCTTAGATACCTTATCACAAACTCACCTACAAAAAGTGGGTTCAGCAGAGCAATGAAAATGAGTTAGAACATGGGATGCTGTTCTAATACTCCCAGAACCACCCTGGTGCTGCTTGGTTTTAAGGGACATTTAAGGATAATTGCAGCAGTAGGACACTCATTTATGAATTCTCATTACTGTAAGAAGCTACACTCGAAACTTGCATTTTAATAACTGTTAAAAGAGCAGAGTCTTCTGAGTTCATATATTCCTTTTTACCAATACAGTAACTCCATTTAGCAACCTCTCTCTCTCTGATACAACCTTTCATTCACATTTTATATATGGCTATCTTTATAACTACCGAAGCAGGACTGACTTTAAGTAAGCATGAGTCATTTCACAAATGCTAGTTTCATAAAACAGCTCCATTAACTCCTTAATGACTTACAGACCTTTCTAGACCCGCTTGGAAATTCCGTATATTAATTCATAGTTCAAATACTCTCCTGAAGACAATACAGAGATCTTTCAAAGCTACCTGTTATTTCAGCTGGTGGAATTTCACAAATTTTAGCCAAGAAGTGGCTATTCCCTCTGAATTCTCCTCTTTTAATGCTGACTTATTACTGTATTATTAGTCTATTGCACATCACCCCACCAAGCACAAAGCCCCGAGGAAAGCACTATACCCTGCTAAAAGGCCACGTTTGTCTCTGTCCCCATGAGACTTTTTAGAACTAAATATATGCCATATGCTGCTACAAAACAAAAATGAAGCTTTATGTGAAGACTTTTGGATGCTGTGGTTTTATTCCAAGTACTCCTCTTTGGAAAGGTCAGAATGGTAGAGTTCTGCTACTGTTAGGGGGGAAGGGGGGACAGCGCTCTCAGAGTTGTTTATCAGAGATCTTCCCTTTTTCTACCCTCTTTTAACTAATATAGACTTGACAACTCCTTGAGTAGGTCCTGTAACAAGCAAAATAAATGTAATATTCTGCTAAATCTTTTTTCCATAACATTTATTAAAACATAACTTGCTCTGATTCTCCTTCTTCAAGCTCTTCAAAACCATGTCAGTTTTAATCTAACGGTACAGATAATTTTGTTTGCAGTTTGGGCCAAAAATGTTTGATCGTAAGAATCTATTTGCTTAGGACAAACAGTGGGATCAAATCCCACCCATAAATGTTACACAATTTAAGGCTATGAGTTCTCATTTGGAGGAAAAAAAATCTAGATTTATAATTATTAAGAGGTCTGGGCAAACATGGACTGAAAAGATTTACATAACGCTTTCTACTAAGTTGTCAAAGAAAGAGATCTCTAAAAAAACAAAGAAGAAACACCATGAAGTGAAAGGGGAAAGGGAATGTAAAAATAAAAATTAAATTAAAAAAAAAGAACAAAACAGAAAGAAGACAAGAAACAATACTTTGTTAGACAGGATGAAGAAAAACTTGGGAAAAATGAAGCTCACATTTTTCCTGTATGGACGTTTAAAGCAGTTCAGTAACATTGTTATTTGAATAATTAAGGGTGCAAAGAAGCTAGGAAGGCCAGTTAGAAGCAGTGATAAATGCCTCAAGTTTCCCAATATTAAACACAGAATAAAGAACCACCATTATTACCGCATTTCTTAATCATGGAGCTGTAGCAGGACAGGTATACATCATCCTAACCAGGAGATTCAACCTGGCAACGAGCAAGTATTTCAATAATGTTACAAGGCCTGGGAAGACTGTTGTTCTAACAGAAGGGTAGAAAGGCGCTGCTATAAATCTTTCTTACAACCTCACACAGATGGGCAGAGCCCACAAACTTCTCAATTCCCCCCTCCCAAAGACTTCTGCTATCTAGCGCATTAGCTGGAGCTAGTAGAGCACAGCAGTGCAAATTAGTTCAGGACAGAGACGTTCTCCAGGAAAGACCTTCCGAAGTGCAGCATGCTTGACAGACACGTGACTTTCAGTGAAGAGGATCAGACTAACAGAAAATCAGCTGTGGCACTCACGAGCTGTTCTTTATAAGGAATCTTGCTTTCCCTCAAAGTTGCTTGCAACAGCCTAGCCTACTAGGATTTTCTCACTCTCCCTGTTTTACTCCGTGCTACCAAAGTGTGATTTGGGCAGTGTGGTGAGCTACTGCTTTGAATGAAATTAAATGTGAAGTTAAGCTTAAGGGAATACTGGTAGCACAGCAGGGTCAATTAAAGCTTAAAAACAAATTCCAAAAGAAATAATATATATGTATATTTTTAAACCACAACATAATCTCCAATGTCTCAAAGAAAACAATGTTCAGGAATATTATGAGCCAGAGATGGCTAGGTAAAGATGAGTAAAGCATTTTAGGTATCATAGAAGGTTAAAATCTTTGCATATTTCCCCAAAATCTGATGAGTTAGCATCAATTTCTATACATATTTCTCAGCCCCAAAATTTCCATTCTGTATCCTGTCTCTCTCAATTCAGAAGTGTAATAAAACACATCCTAACTCGATATATTTTACCTACGTGGGGAAAAACTTCACACCTTCCAAGTTATCTATCGGTTCTGTAGAGTTTGCCAATTCTGTACTGAAGACGTGTATATATGATTGCTGCACCGATGAAGTACTGAAGTGCATTTTGTGCTAAGCAAGATTAAGCAAAGTATTTAGGAGTGGAAAGGAGATGCTCTGACTCAGCACAGAAACTGTTTTTTCCCCAAGTACTTAAAATGTTATATAAACAGGAAGTCAATTAGGTATCAGGAAATTCCAGAGCCTTTAGCTCAAAGAGAGCCTAGATTAAAGGATCCAATTTACATATCATCCTAAGGCAAAGGTCTGCCACTTAGAATACCTTGGTCTCAATTTCCTCAAATGTAACTTCAGGGATAACTATTTGATGTGTAGAGATAGAGCACTGTTCTCCTTTTTAAGAGGAAAAAAAAAAAAAAAACAACAGAAGGGGCATGTACAAGTATTTGATCATATCAAGAAGTGAATCGACCCTAGGCAAACTCACTGCTTTATTACAAATCGTACTCCATCAATCACTGCTTTACAGGACACTTCCCTATTGAGTTGTAATATATGTTCCTGCTTCAAAAGCAAAAAAAAAAAAAAATGAAGCAATCTGCTTGAGTTCAGGATATAAAAATGAAACCCTGTGTGTGATCATCGTTGTCTCAGTCTGCATAATTTTCAAGTGACTATCAATGCTTCCACTGATTGCTTTTCAACTGCTGACAGAATGAAAGAAAACTCAACACACCTTTTGAAGACCAAGCAAGCAACATTGAACACAGATTCCAACACACAACTTTATGGACAGCTCCCTCACCCTCCTCCCCAAAATAAAAACTTCAGAAGTGAAAACATGGATGGGGAAACACTTATGACAGAAATGTTTGACAAAAGACACAATTTTGGTTCAGTAACCTAAACATGATGCAATCGTCAAACTCTAGTCAATAAGTGACTCGAGTCACTTATTTCCAAAAAAAAAGTTTATCCATAACTCATGATGCAAAAACAGCATTACAATGCTTTTTCCCTTTCTTATTCCTACAGATCTACAATGCGCTTGGAAAGGGAAATCCCTTGAACAGATCTCTTCTTGCTAAGTTTTGCCCATTATGTACCTCCAAAGCCAAGGCTGTCTTGTCGTAGGCATTAGGGACTCGCTTCTGGATAACCCGGGCATAAATAGGGCCATTCTGAAGGTTAGGGAGCGGAGTGTTGATGCTGGGCTGGGCATAGGGCCCTGGCTCCGGCCCACCCAGTGGTTGTGGGTGGGAACTATCCTGGTTACCTCCAATCAGAGTAGATACTGAAGCAGAGGAAGGTCTATACTTCTCGACGTAAGGAACAGGTATCATTCCCCTCTTCCCGTCGCAGTCTTCTGCATTCCACCACTGCTCTTCAGGTTTATCCCGGATTTTCAGTATGTCTCCTTTCTTAAATGGAAGATCTTCTTCATCATTTCCATTAAAGTCAAAGAGAGCTCGCACATACTCAGCTTCCTCCTGTCTGAGGATAACGCCGCTATTCTGCCTGGGTCGGGGGGGGATTGGTTCTATCAAGGTTGTAGTGTCCAAATAGTGTATTTTGTAGAATTCCAGTAAAAGTGGCAAAGAATCAAACTCCTGGTCACCTATTCGAAATCTGGTGGGATTCAACCCTGAAAGAGGAAAGCAAAATATCAACAAAGAGAGCATTACAACTGTAAATTAAGCACCTGAGAAGACTAATATATTTACAAATAAAAAATATGATGTTGCATTAGGCCAATTTTCTACCAACACACATTACATTCAGCTCTTTCATGCACTTCTGATTAAAGGCAGCACTATATTGTTTGTGAGGACGGAGATTTAGTTTAAAAGATTTTGTCAATAACAGAAAAATCAGGTAACAAATTGTTGGGCACTGCCAAACTTCCTGAATTACAATAGAAGTATCTTGTATCCACCAGTGTTACGTGGACCCAATAGATAAATTTCAAGTTTGTTTGTTTGTTTCAAAAGTTATTTCAAAAGGACAATATTGCAATAACAGTCATTTACCTGTTGTAACATATCTTGGGTTAAAGGGATGGACACTACAGGAAACTACTTCGCTCAGCAACACAAAAATGCATGTTTTCACAATGGGCATAATTGATTCTTTTAATTTCAATTCTTGTAGTTTCCTTGCCATATTTGTCAGATGGAGTCCAAGCTATAAATTTGAACCTCAAATACATTAAAATGTAAAATATACATACGATGTTCATATTCAAGACATTAGAAATACCATTTCCATTTTCCATTTGTGTGCTGCACTTTTTTTTTTTTTAATTTTTATGTTCTTCAAGCTCAGCTGGTGAAAAGCACATGCATGATGTTCTATTTCCACCATGCACTATCCACTGTTTTATCAGTTATGGGAAGAACTAGGGAAGGCTGGGGGATGGTAGCGGAGAGGAAAAGATTTATGCTTTAATGAGTAACTCTTTTAGCAAGAAAGAGATGCTTACTTTGCAAGTCTGTTTCTCTGCAGGGAATATCTAATAGTTCTGAGACTTAGCTCTCGAGTACAAAGCTAGCAGAATTTTTTAGGCTGTCACTGATCCAAAACCCCCCTTTCAAAGTAGCACTGTCAGCACGGAAAGCTAACATTACAAGAAGGTCTTTCAAGAAAGCAAAAAGGGGTTCTAATAGAAAAAAGGGATGATTCAATAAGATCAACACAGACAAACACCCAATAAATAAGTTCTGAAGTTCCTGAAGGAACACAAATGTCACTGAAGCTTTTTACAGAAAATTCAAAGAAGCAGAACAAACTCATTGCAAAACGCACATCTGCACTCATTAATGGGCCTGAAAGACTTTCAGAAGGTATCAGCACAACTGCAGCGAACCAAAGAACAAAAGCAATACCATCAAAAATTACCAAAAACAACCCACAAAACAAACTGGCTTCACCAAAAGATAAGGAAACTAACGTAAACATCAGTATGAAGCATGAACCTGACGTGGAAAGTGAGAGTAAGATTCTACCTCGTTCTCTCAAAGCTTAAGGCTGAAAAGAAGCAAAACCCCCTCAACTTTTCTTGATGAGATGTAACTTACAGCTCTAGACTTAGCAAGAACTCTACAACTTCATCTCAGAGGCGGCTCATAGCTAAGTAGTCTCACAGGAGATTACTTCTGGCTGGACAAGCACCATCCCTACATCACTTTAAAACAGCTTCAGTTCACTGCAGAAGCATAAGACACAATCTGGGAATGTCGCACTTCCATTGCCACTGGAGGTGGAAAACCATGCTTTGCAACAAGTGTTACAGACATCAAATTTTAGACTAATCTGGTGACAGAAACACAAGCATGCATTTGCTGCTACTTGATATGTGAACCTTTAAGGATCAGGCTTATATAGATGTTTATGCCAAAAGAAAAAGCCACAGAAACTTTAAGAGGACAGGACAACAAAGACCTTTGAAGTCACATGGAGAAGCCAATCTCCAATATCCAAAAAGGCCTGGAAAAAGTATTTAGTAGGTAAGTTCACTGACATGGAACTAACTTTACATGACTAAGGAATATGAAACACTGATTTACCTTTGCAAAGCCTGCTGCAAACTGACTCAGTCAGAAGACCGAGACCTGTCTCCAGCAAAATAAGTGTACACAGAAAAATCTGTGTACAAATCATTGGAATTGAGCAGTTCAAAAGTACCATTCACCAGCTGTGTCAGCACCAAAATCATTAGCAGAATGAACAAAGTTTTGGGGGTTTTAAAAAGGAAAAAAAAAAATCACTCTTGCCCTCTTCAAATCATGCATGACAGCCTGAACCAGCTGCTAAATGTACCTGAATAAAACCAAAGTTGGACTCCTAAGAGGAAAGTCCACTGAAGCCTTATGTACGAGGGAGTGACTGAAATCAGTGTACTGTATCCTGGAAAAGAGCGTTCCAAAACATATTTTGCACAATTGAGGAGTGAGAGAACACAGCTCCTTCAACTACATTCTAAGATCAGAAAGATAACAATAATCCTTGAAAGGACAAAGAGATAAGCAGCAAAAAGGAGCCACATTATTTCCCTAAGAGAACACTCCCAAAACACCACACGTAGTTCTGATATTTTGGTTTTAAAAACAGAAGGCATCCACAGAAAAAATCAGAGGTCTGGAAAACAAGGCTATTGCAACAAGAAATCCGTGAGCTCACTTCAAATTGCCAGAGAATAAAGACAGCAACCTGGTCATGGCTTGGACATTTTTAATTTCTTCTAAATTCAGCATAAAACAACTAAGTAGTTGAAAGTCGCAGTTAGAGAAGCACAGGTTGGAAATAAAATACAACTACACCTTACCAAGCAAGCGATAAATTCCTCATCAGTTTAAGACTTTTTATGTCTACTCTTGTTCAGCAACAAGTTAAAGAGCTGAACAATGTTCAGTTACATAGCAGGGAAATAATTCTATGCACCACGAGCTTCAAGGTCCTGTCATTCCCTGGAATAACAAAATTTAAAGACCAATAGATTTTAGACTCAGAGGAATTCTTCAGCTTCTCATTTGGACTGCAACATGCCCCATACCTGTATGCCAATCTAATAATTAAGGTGAGATCTACCACAAGGAAGTGGAAGTTACAGCAACAAGGCATTTATATATTTTATTTTTTTAAGTAGAGCTGTTTTTTTTTTCACAATCTTGGAATACTTTTCTTGGAGGCACAAGTTCTAGCAGCATGTTGTTCACGTCTTCTGGGGGCTCTCAGGAAGAGGAGAATGCATGTAAAGGTAAGCCTAGCTACTAGAGGAACTTTAGTCACTTCCTACCAAAGCTGGGCAACAAGTACTAGAAATTCTCTTCCTTTCTCCCCAGCTCTGTATGACTGAAGGGAAGATAGCTGTTCATTTTGCACCTCCAGCAGCAGAACTGCTCAGCTCCCTAAGATGACCAAGATAGTTCTTGGAAGAGCTAGTGAACCCTCTGCTCTCAAGAGGGCGTGGAAAGTGTGAAAACCCAAAGTAGTTCATAATTAAAGTTTCAGATCCGGACCCTGACAGTTCTCTATGATGCATGTGTCTTCCTGACCAAACACTTTAATATTGGGGTTGGCCTTGTGCCCACATCGGAAATATGGTTTATAAGTTTTCTAAATAAAATACCTAATACTCTACTTCTCGAGAGTGTGGGCAGGTGGCATAGCCACAGAGCAGCTTCTCACTTCATCAGATGTCAGAGGTTTTACATTTCTCTCTACACTCCAATTGTGTTCGTGCCACTAGGCAATTCTCCGTTGATCCTTAAGCTCTGGTAAACTTTCTTTGGAAGACCTCACAGGAATAGAAGTTTTTTCATTTTCATTTCTAGACCTCCTCCATAAGCCCCTGTGCACCATCTTCAAAAGTATGCTTTGGGCGAGAAAGGCTGTTCTTAGCGTTCAGGGTGCTGAGACACAAGGCTCAAAGTAAGACATCACAGCGATGTGAGCCAGCTACACCTGAGCACACACAAACTCACATTGAAGCCCGTGCATTTCCCCCACCCTCATACGGACACCTTTTTCCCTTAGTCTTAAGCACCTCTCTCCTCATACCTCAGTAAAACAAACAAGTACCCATGAATGCTCTAGAATAACAGTAAAACCTCATTCATCGACTGCTGAGAAGAGCTCTACGCATCTCAGAAGAAAATTCTCACAGAAGCTCCTTATTGCCATTTCTGCAGACAATCAGAGGATGAGAGAAAAGTAAATGCCTAATGCCTACGCTTTCCAAGCTTCCAGTAGTTTGTATTTTAGGACCTCAATACCAAAAAAACAAACAGGTGTCCAAGTTAAACCACGTTGCTCACCCGTATCTAAAGCCATCTCATCATATAAAGAGCAGAGTATGGGTATCATTATATGATTACAGCCTGAATTTTTAAAAATCATCATGGAGGTGATTTAGAATCACAAGAAGCATGTTCTTAAAATGCACACGCTGTAGAAGGTGGTGTTTTTGATAAGCATGTCATACTTTCCTACTTCAGAGTAAAAATTTATAACTCTAAAGCTTATGGTTTTAAGGTTTCTGTCTCCATCACATCGCACTTTCAGTAGGAAGCAAGTCTGTCTTTAGATATTTTAGGCATCTTCTTTTAAATTGTATCATACGTTTTTACCCTGGACTTGTATGTCAACTTATAAACACATGATGTGTTTAAATGTTTTCTCTATTGTCCATGGCCATGCTAATGCCTGCACAAAGTACTTTGTCTAGTTTGGGACTTCTGTAGCCTGTGATGCTTGATTACAAATGATACACTAATTCCAATGCAATTACTAATCTTCATCTCTACTGGAAACAGAGCGTTTTTATTCCTTTACCTCAATGATTTACCCCGTTTCTTTTAATGGGCTACTTTTCAGTAAGATGTAGTTATTTTGGGAAGTTCTGTTGAATTCTTTCTTCCTTATTCTGAAACATTTCCTGGAAGAAGTTAGGAACTACAGCACATCAGGCAAAAGGCAAATTTACCCAAAAGTTAGCTTTAGAAAAAAAAAAAAAAACCTTCAGAAATTGAAGAAATGATCCAATTTTTGTGACAGTATGGCTTTTTATATTAGGGAAGCCCAAGCTCCTCAGCGCATTCATATTGTATAGAAGCTAGGTTCCCAGTATCATCTGCACACAGCAGCGTTCCAGCAGTCATGAATCACACAGGCTTACTGAAGCTAACAAGAAAATCACCTTAGAAAAGTAGACAGTACAGATAATTAACATAGTGAAGTTGTTCTTCCTGATGTTTCAACTTGACCACAATAAATAAGAAGCATGATGATTTGCAAACATTTACCTCATTTTACTGCATTACTTTCCCTATTCAAACATGAAATCATCTTTCACCTTCTACCAATGATTCCATCTCCCTTCCCCAGTGAACATTCCCCTCCCCAGTTTTTCTGAAAGAAACTTGCACTTTAAATGTAATTTAATACATATGCACCCGCCTTCTTTCTTTCATTTAAGTGTGAAAAGAAAACAGCATCAGCACAAAGGCATCTATTTAAAACCACTAACATTTCAGCATAGGATTATCTGTGGTGCAGGGGTGAAGCACCACCTATTTTCATAACATCCAGGGGAAAAAAAAACACACCCTACCAAAAATAATTAAACTTTTTAACATAGATTAAGCCTACTGTGCCAGCAGCCTACGCAGCTACAATAGCAGCTAGTCTGCTAAAGCAGATAAATATTTAAAACAGAAGATAACTACCTAAGGGGCATTAAGTGATTTATAAAAAGAACACCAAAACCTCAAAATGTTTTAATGCTCACTGTGTAATCCAGCCCACAGAATGCCACAAAACATTACTGAGCTTAAGAGCGTAGCACAACGAAAAAGTTAGAGCGGCTATTTACCAAGGTGGCATCACAGTAACACAGGCATTCAATAACGAGGAAAACATTGTCTTTCCAGAGAAAACAACTGCCAAGCAAAGTAACTGGCACACACACTTCAGGGTTTTTCACCTCTAGGGATTCCACTACTAAGAATTCTGGCAGCTTAATCTGCTCTATACAACATCAGTCATGCATTTCCAGCATCAAGCCTTCATAAACCTATGAAAATAAACCTTTGTCTTGACCAACATGAAACAACGAGGAATCTAAAAAGTCTTGTGGCAAACCATTGAGCTTCATTTGTTTGAAGCTCATTTCCACTTCATTTCCAGCTGAATCCGCCACCTTTACATGCTATCTCATGGAGCTTTTTATGACTCGAGTACACTCTGCAGCTGTGGTATGTTCCTGGATAAATACAATGACTTCAGGCTTTCCCCAGTTTGCCAATTTTACATGTTGCCCCAAGAAATAGAGATCACTGCATAATGGTGCAAATCTACTGGCAACAGGTTTGTTTTTTTATTCAGATTACCCCCTTCCTAGTCAACTAGGGTCTGTGCAGAGACTGTGAAATCCTTTATGTAGCAAATACCCTCGAATCCTCCCAACACAGAAAGTGACCGTACCTACACACAACCTTCAAAACTTTGCAGTGATTTCTTTCTGAGCTGCTAGGAATATGCCCACATCATCTTACGAGCATTAATATGCACGCCTGAGTGGTTCTACTACCAATTTCAGTAATGACTCAAGCAAGGATATTGCTGCCTTTTAACTAAATCTTCTCACTTGCACATCTAGGGATTATGCACCGCTGGGAGCCCTTGTTAATTTAGTTCTGCTTGTACTTTCAGAAATGCTGCTTCCCGTTATAACAGTTTTCCTTTTAACTGTCAGTATTTTCTACTCCACAAGCATTAATTTGGATGCATTATTGATTATTGATGATGTTGAGTCAATGAGAAATAACATCACATCTTCCCTTTCAACACACGGTGTGCGTGGGAGCACCCAAAACTTCACATCTAATTTACAGGAATAATTGCTTTTACATTCCTGAGGAGTTCCTAACACTTAAATCACCCCCCCCTAACGCTCTGGTTTGTGACCTGAAGTTTAGCCTTACTGCCTGTCCTCTAACACAAAACCATTTCGGCAGAACCCAGCCTTTCAGATGACATTTCCACACTTCCATCTCCGAGCTGAGATGACATGCCCCGTGCAGTAACTAAACTTGACGAAAACAAAAGTCCATGTGGAGCACCACAACTCTGGGATCGGGAAAACCAACGCTCACCCCAGCGCACGTTTAACCCCACAAACCGATTCCCTCAGCGGCTGCTGCCCACAAACTCCTGCCTCAACATCCCCAGCACCACCACACGACCCAATTCCTCACAGAAACCCCCAGAAGCGGCCCGGGAGGAGGCACCGAGCTGGGCCCGGCCTCCCTTCCCCCGGGGGGAAGCTGAGGGGGGCACGGCCGGCCCCGTGAGGGGATCACTCACCCGGGGCCCCAGGGCCCTCGCCGCCGGCTCGCCGGCCTCCCGCCGGCCCCAGGCTGTTGACGATGTAGTGCGAGACTCGGGAGCTCTCGGACACCGACAGCACGAAGTCCCCCGGGATGGTGCCGGAGTCGCGCACCAGGAAGGTGCCGTGGCGCTGCCCCTGAAGCAACGACACCGCCTCGGCCCGGCTCAGCCGCCCCCAATACCAACTCGCCCGGTCCTCGGCGTCGAACTGCCCGGCCATGGGGGCCGCCCTCGCTGCTGTTCCTGCTGCCGCCGCCCCCCCCCCCCCCCAAGGCCTGGCCCGGCCCGGCCCGGCCCCGCCGTGCCCCCCGCTCCGCGCCCAGCCCCGCCACCCAAAATGGCGGTCCCGGCCCTGACCTCACCTACCGGACGTGACGGCGCCAGGGGGGACGCGGGGAAGGAGGCGCGTCATCTGCGCGCGCGGCCGGGGGGGGGGGGAGAGAGGGAGTGAGGGGGGGGCGGGTGAGGGGCGCTGAGGAGAATGGGGGGCTTGGGAGGGGCTGAGAGGGGCTTAAAGGGGCTTGAGGGAGGCTGAAGAGGGGCTGAAACGGGCTTGAGAGGCTCTGAGGGGGGGGCTGAGGAGGGCTGAGAGGGGCTGAGAGGGGCTGAGGCTGAGAGGGGCTGAGGGGGCTGAGGAGGGCTGAAGGGGGCTGAGGAGGGCTGAAGGGGGCTGAGGAGGGCTGAAGGGGGGCTGGGAGGGCTGAAGGGGCTGAGGAGGGCTGAAGGGGCTGAGGGAGGAGGGCTGAAGGGGGCTGAGGAGGGGCTGAGGAGGGCTGAGGAGGGGCTGAAGGGGGCTGAGGAGGGCTGAGGGGGGCTGAGGAGGGCTGAGGAGGGCTGAAGGGGGCTGAGGGGGCTGAGGAGGGCTGAAGGGGGCTGAGGAGGGCTGAAGGGGGCTGAGGAGGGCTGAAGGGGGCTGAGGAGGGCTGAAGGGGCTGAGGAGGGCTGAAGGGGGCTGAGGAGGGCTGAAGGGGGCTGAGGAGGGCTGAAGGGGCTGAGGAGGGCTGAGGGGGGCTGAGGAGGGCTGAAGGGGCTGAGGAGGGCTGAAGGGGGCTGAGGAGGGCTGTGAAGGGGGCTGAGGAGGGCTGAAAGGGGGCTGAAGGGGGCTGAGGAGGGCTGAAGGGGGCTGAGGAGGGCTGAGAGGCTGAAGGGCTGAGGAGGGCTGAAGGGGGCTGAGGAGGGCTGAAGGGGGCTGAGGAGGGCTGAAGGGAGTGGATGCTTGGGGGCCTGAGGGGAGCTTGGTGGGGACTGAGGGGAGCTGGAAGCGTTGACAGGAGCATTGAGAGGAGCAGGGGACTGAGGGGAGCAGAGTGCTGCGGACTTGTCTCTGCAGCTGGTGCATCCCATTAAGGGGGGGAGGAAGGTAGGGCAACCCCCTGAGCATCCCAATCCCCTCCTGGCTTCCCAGTTTCTGCGGCTGGCTGAGATCACTTGTGTGAAGCCAGGCTTGTGAACCTATAACAGGCGTTAAGGATACAGCTCGCTGTCTTCTTCCCTTCAGAGTTGCACCAGCAGTTCCTGCCCTCGTCTTCCCTGCCAGCTGTACATTCCTACCCCACAGTTGTGCCAGCACAGCTGTTTTCATGGGGCCGAGTCAGGCCAATGAGGTCTTGGTTAAAAATAGCTCTGCAGAAGAAAAAGCTTATTTTTACCCAGAAGAGTTCACTGACCGTGTTACCACAGGGGCCTGCAAACAGGGAATTGCTTAACATCCACTGGTGCCACAGAGGAATGTGGATGTGTGCACGTGGACAACTAAGAATGATGTCTGTAAGGATGGGGCAATATTTAACCGTTTTAAGTTCTCCAGGCTCTCCCAAGTTCCAGAGTAATGTCTTTAGAGTCTGGATAAGTGAGTATTGAATTCTGTTCCAGCTCTCCTCAATTCTGAGAGCTTTTTCCAGAATGGAATGTGTTTTTTCATCTGTGTGGCCTCCATGTGGCAGCACTTGCATAAACATCATGTTAGAGCACAGCTGTCCTTAACTGTGAGGGTGCTGTGTTCCTGCCTGGCTGACAGCATCTTTGCTTTGTTGTAGGATGCTTTGAAGCCCTGTAACCCTCATGAACAGGACTTTGGTGCTCTGTCAGTTAACTAGGCTTGTATCAACCCCCACAATATCCCAACAAGAAAATATTCCATCTTACAGGTGGGAGGCTGCAGTTCACCAAATATATAAGAAAACACCAGGTGCTTGACTTCTGCTTATCTGGTGGTTCAACAAATGAACATCCTGCCTCTGCTGATCCCGTTCTCTCTCCAGATGGACCGTAGGTAGGAGCCAGTCATAATCTATTTAGAAACTAGTCCTAGTTTCCCTGGTGACGTTTGGCGTTTGTTAGCCAGTTGCAGAAATAGCACACTTCCATGCTCGTTTTTTTTTCTCAGGTTTGAGAAGCTGCAGATTCTCGTTGAGGTCCCAGGCTGCTAGGAGAGTTAAATCACAGCAGCAAGAAAGCACATCCATTCTGGTTAGTGGTTCAATCAGACTTTGAACAAAACAGAACTTTCTTACAATGGTAAAATTCACTGTTTTTCTGACTTCTGCTAGACACCTGTTGACTGCGGGCCTGCAGACTTTTATTTTCCTGTCTTTCCAGTCCCCACCTTTGTACCCCATCTCCCCATGTTTTCATCTGAACCACAAAACTGCAGGAGTTGGTCGAGTGTTTCATCAGACCTTCTGCAGCAAGGAGTTCAGAATCTTATTGCAAGAGTTCCCTCTGGTGGTCAGTGATGGGGAAATGCATATTTCCCTGCTGAAAGAAGCTCCTTTTGCTACTTTTATGTTGAAATAATTTATTGTTCAATCACTCTCTGTCCTTCATTATTTTTAACAGCCTTTCCTTACTTAGTGCTTCTCCAGATAATAACCTCTCCAAACTCCTTTTTCTTCCCGTAATTAACACTTAGATTCCACTCCATTAACACACCCTTCCACTCGTCAGTAGTTTACTACCATTGACCCACCCATGCCTTCTGCACAGAGACTAAAATAAAGGTGGAGCTGTCTGCACTAGTGTGCATTTCTACACGGGCCTTTTCACAAGCAGAGGATTGCAGCCTGAGCTCAGTGGCCACATGGATCTTGGCTCCAGACTCAGAAGAATAAAAGTAGATCGGTGTAATTCTGAAGAATTCATGGTTAATAAGATTCTGAAAGAAGCTGTAAAATATCAAGAGAATATTCCACTCACCTACCTGGCAGTAAAAGCCCCAGGCCTGGCTTTCCTCTCCTGATTTGACTGTTCCTACCAGTCAGCCTGGAGATGATTTTTTCTTAAGAAGCAATAAAACTTTGGCAACTGATCTAAAGCCACCGTTTATCAGTAGAAAGTTTCTTGCTGAGTTCAATGAGCAAGTCTTGAAATCGTGCCAAGCAGAGGGGGTTGTAGTACAGCTGTGCAGCAATGGTCTGTCCTGGGCAATATACAGGGATGTTAAAACAAGGAAATTTTTGGGTTAATTAAAGCCTTCGTCTGCACTCTAATAGCAGCAGTGCAGGGCAACCTGTTGTTACAGAATCTTGCCTCGTCTATTACTTTGAAGGGTCAGTTTTGTAAATCTGTTTTAGATCACACATCGGTATGGTGTTCTACTTACAAAATGAAAACTGAAAAGAGAAGGTGCATCTTCTACTTTCTTTTCTCTACCACCTCAAGAACTAGCATTTCTGCCACAGAAATGTTTCCTCTAGCAGTTATTTCAGGATCTGCTGCTCACAGTGGGTTTCAATGTCCTGTTTACTTCTCATCTTCACAGTATATGTACGTGGCCTCTTCTGTAACCGTTCACATCTGGCTTGGAAGCGTCACCTGTGCTGGTGGTTCCTGCCAGATGCTGGCTATGTGATGTCAGCAGCCAAGATAGCTCTGGCAAATGCAACTCAAATTAGCTATTTTGAAAAGATCTTTCTGCAGAGACTGTTAAAAATAAATAAGCCTGGAGTGCATGATCAGTAGCAAGAAGATATATTAGTCCCAGTGGATTATGTATAATGGAAGGAGCCTTTTTATTACCAGAAGCAACTTTTGTTCATGCCATACTCAAGATTTGCTGTTGAATTTTACTGGGAAATACCATCAATTCAGAGAGAAAGTGACACAAGCCAGGGAGTGCTGGAGGGGGTCGGTTTGAGAACCTGCAGAACTGAGGAACGGAGCAGTCTGAAACTGAGCAGGGTCGCACAGCCAGGGAAATGTTAGGAATCTGTAATGAAGTTGGCTGGATGGGACTGCCACGTGGGGTGATATTTGCCAGGTGACTGTGAGCTGAGGAAGCGCAGCTGTGGAGCGATGAGTTGTGGCGTTACGCCACGGCTGGGGAAATGCTGCTGTGGTTGGATCCAGGCGTTGGGACGGGTTGGGCAGGGACGTGGTGGAGTCACTCTGGGGGTGTTCAAGGAAGGGTTGGACGTGGTGCTTAGGGACACGGTTTAGTGGTGACATTGGTGGTAGGGTGATGGACCAGCTGATTTTGGAAGTCAAACCATTGATAATCATTAAGATCCAACCCTAACGATTCTGTGATTCTACATCAGCCAAGGCAGGAACAAACCCTCAGCTCCATCGCTGTTCTGGCCCCTCACGTTCAAGGGGCACAGAGCTGAACTGCAGGTAGCGATGAGGATGATTAGTGGAACACAGAACTTATTCCAGGAGAATAATCAATAAAATGGTGTTTTGTTTTGTTTTTTTAGCACAGTGCAAGGAAGGCCAGAGAAGACCGGGCTTTTCTCCTGAAACACCCCCGTGAGGGAACAAGAACACGTCCAAGGGAACAACCCAGCCAAGCACAGCACGATGGGACCTCCTATAGGACAGAGAGGAGGAAAAACCCGACTTTTTTCAGACGAAGCAGCTCATTTTTAAAAAAGAAAAATGTAGGAAGCAGCGCCCGCTGTAGCAGGCTCTGGACCGCGCTGTGCTCGCAGCGAGGGGCAGGAGGACGAGGAGAAAATGGCGGCGGGGTCCTCCCGCTCCCCTTAGCCCTGGAGGCGCCGCTCTCTCCCCTCATCTCTATGGCCCCCGGCGCCGCGGTTGGCTGCGGGTGGCGCTCTATCCCCGGCTCGGCGTCTCGGTGGTGGCTGGCGGTGCCGCTCTATGCCGCGGCGGACTCCGTCTCGGTGGCCGGGCGGAGGGCGGGCCTGGCGGAGCCATGGCGGCCGTGCGGGGCCTGCGGATCTCGGTGAAGGCTGAGGCGGCGGAGTCCCGCGGCCCCGAGCCCGAGCCGATGGAAGTAGAAGAAGGCGAGCTGGACGCCATCCCCGTGAGGCGCTCGCTCCGGGAGCTCCTCCCGGTGAGGGACGGGCAGGGGGCGCGAA